TCTGCGCCATCTGCTGGCCGATGCAGGACCGCGGGCCGGATCCAAACGGCATAAAGTGCGCCGTCGTCGCTGCCCGCGCATTCTCCCAGCGTTCCGGGCGGAACGCGGCCCAGTCGTCCCCGTAAAGGGCCGGGCTTCGGTTCAGCGCGTACACGCTCCAGACGACCGACGTGCCCGCGCGCACGGCCACGGGAGACTGGCCGTCCGGCCCGCCACCACGGGGCAGCGTGGTGTCGACGGCCGCCTGCCTGGAATGCGATGCGACGGGTGTGTAGAGGCGGAGTCCTAAAAAAAGAAAAAAAAGAAACGTCACGAAGAGTTAGTGGCTTGTTGATGACACGGGGGCGTCCCGGGGCGGCAGGGGTGACGGGAGGGCGCACCTTCGTACAAGACACAACGCAGATAGGGCATGGCGGACATGTCTTGCTTGGTCGGCGGGGTGCCCCGGAGGGGAGCGATCTCGCGCCGCAGCTTGTCCTGGATGTCCGGTCGGCCGGCGAGGACGTGCACCAGGTTGGCGAGCAGCGCCGTGGTGGTGTCGAAGCTTGCGAAGAAGATGTTTTGCAGCTCCGCCTGCATGTCGTCGACCACGAGGCCCTCCTGCTCGAGCATGCGGAACAGTGAGGTGCTGCTCTTGCGGCGGCGGTCGCCGCGCGCGTATCGCTGCTTCTCGCGGAGCAGGTCCAGGCGCTGCTTGAAAAAGGCCTTCATGCCGCTGACGACGGCGAGCAGCGTCCGGTAGGAAAAGGCCAGCTTGAACCAGGCCAGCGCGCCGACGGCGATGAAGAGGCCGCAAGCGGGTTCAAACGCCTTGACCAGGTCGAGAAAGTCTCGGCCATCCGTGCTGGCCCCTGCCGTGCTGGACAGACTCGCGACGGAAGCGTCGAACAGGAAGTCGGTCACGACATCGAGGGAGAAGCGCGTCGCCAGCTGCAAAAAGTCAAACGTCTGGCCTTTGTGGTCTCGAATGGCAGCCACCATGTTCTTCACGTGCGGCTCGACGAGAGCCAGCTCGTCGAGCGTCGTCTTTGCAAAGACGGGTTTGAGGAGCGCGCGGGAGCGCCGCCAGGCCTCGCCCTCGTTCATGAGGACGCCGTGGCCAATGTGCTTGGACGCCTCGTCAACCCACGCCGACTTTTGGAAGCGCGCAAACTGCCCCGTCGTCACGTCCCGGATGTTTTCGGGGTCGATGGTGTAGATGCACTCGCCACCGAGGAGCTCGCGCGCCTTGAATGTCGCACCGCAGCGAGAATGTCGCAGACGCATGCCCTCGGCGAGCCGGCCGCGTGTATAGTCTCGCCACATGGCTAGCGACAGATCCAGTCCCCAGAACGGCTCTAGGTGAGGGTATACCGACATCCCATCCTGGGGAAGAGGGGAGTGTCCTTTGCCGGCTCGACGATACAGGCTGACGACTGCACGGAGCGTGTAATAGGCCAGGGCGCCGGCCACGAAGACGAGTGCCACAACAGTCATTTCTTGATGCAGTGAGTTTTTTGTCTTTCGTTTCTGGGGGCAGGCCTGTAGACCCTTTCTTTTGGCTTCCTATGCTGGTTATTATATCAGCATTGCGTTATTTCTTTGTTCAGCCCAATGTGCGCCCTATCTCCTCTTTACCCCTCCTCCTCACATAATGGGCTCACTTCAAAGGAATAGCCACGAAGCCACCAAACTCATCCATAGCTTACAGCACATCGCATGGTGATCCGACAGCTGCCGCCAATACACCAATCTATCTTGTGTCACCCACCCTCGACATAACGGCTCGTGGCTAGGCATCCTTTTCTCCCGTTCTTATCCCATCTCGCCCTCGACGCGCATGCCGTGTAGCTTGACCTGTCGACTGTCGTCCACTACCTGAGACATGCATGCGCTGGCAGTCATAAATCACTTCCCTCCGTCCGATTTCATATCGAAATCTGGCGCGACGAATTGTAGAGTCGGGTTCTTTTTGCCTGGGTGACGGTGCCCCCCCACAGCACCAATGCATGTTCGAGATGTGTTGTGCGAGGAACGGCAGCGACTTGAGTCGGAGCCCACGGAGCAATTTTTATCGGGCCAGACACGCGTCATACTATGACACACTGACTGTCAAGTGATGCATGCCAAGTGTTGTCGCCTTGTCAGTGGACAAGCACTGCTTGCTGAATCACAGGTCCGGCGCTTCCTGTGATCAAGCACTGGGGTTAAAAGGACGTTGAAGGACGATGGCCCAAGACCTCCCCAGTCCATATCACACACACGAGCAATACATCCCTCATTATTTCTGCACTTTGTCCCAAACACTGCCGTTGCTTCCATGGCTCTGACTTCAACGCTGGTGGGCCGCTTCCACCGTTGGAGCCTGACCATCCAGTCGTTCCTCGGTCGGGTCGCTCAAGGCCTAGTTCTGAATCGGCTGGCCACATTTTCTTCAGGACTTCTGTGCATACAAGACACGTTTGGGTCCGAAATTGCCATGGTCGGCAGTGCCAAAGCACATCATTTTCAGGCGCCGGCCATCCTCGTCGTCCACGATGACTTCTTCTGGATGCGCGTTCTGCTGTTTGGCGATATTGGATTTTCCCAGAGCTACATGCTGCGAGAAATTTCGACCCCAAACCTCACTGCTGTCTTTGAGTTCTTCGTGGAGAATGCTTCGAAACAGAGTGTCTTTGCCGGCTGGCGTGTGGTTGGCCTCTTCAGCGGCGTGACGCGCGCCGTCTTTAAGCGCGCCAATAACATTTCGGCCGCTAAGCTCAATGCTGTCGCGCACTACTCGCTTGGCAACGACATGTTTTCGGCCTTTTTGAGTCCGGACATGACATACTCGGCGGCGTTGTGGCTGCCGACCACGGATCCCCGTTCGGCGACCGAGACGCTGGAGGAGGCGCAGATGCGCAAGCTGCAGTATGCCATTTCCTCAGCGCGCATCAAGCCGACCGACCACGTTTTGGAGGTCGGCAGCGGCTGGGGTAGTTTTGCGATTCTTGCGGCTAAAACGACGGGATGCCGCGTCACGACGGTGACGCCGAGTCTGGCGCAGAAGCGGCTGGTCGAGAGAAGGGTCGCCGACGCCAAACTGTCGGACCAGATCCAGGTCTTTCTCGGTGACTACCGCGAGGTCAAGTCGCTGAATACTAAATTCGACAAGATTGTCAGCATAGAAATGATTGAGCATGTCGGCCACAAGTTCCTAGACACGTACTTTGCATGCATGGATCGCTACCTGAAAGACGACGGCGTAGGGTACTTTCAGTGCATCACCATTCCCGAAGCGCGGTACGATGCATACATCAAGGGCCAAGACTTTATCCAAAAGTACATCTTTCCAGGCGGCCATCTGCCCACGGTCAGCGGCATCGTTGCCAGCATCAATGCTGGGTCCCGGGGCAAGCTGGTTGTTGAAGAAATCCAGTCCTTTGGTGGTCACTACATCAAAACGCTGCAGTGTTGGAGGGAGAATTTTCTCGCCAACTTTGAAGGGATGATTGCTCCGGCGCTGCGCAACGAGCACCCGCACATGACAGACGCCGACTTGGAAATTTTCAAGCGGAAATGGGACGTAAGATGCCGACCACTCTCTTTGGTTTCAAATGCATACTGACTTTGACCAGTACTATTTTTGCTATTGCGAGGCGGGGTTCAAGACGAAGACGATTGGCACTATTGGCATCACGGTCGGCCGGGAGGGTGCACTGGAGTTATTAGAGCAAATTCCGCAGATTTCGTTGAAGGAAGATTAAAGATGTAATCGTGTTACCTTTAAATCAAATATTCGCTTTTTTTCGCAAGACAAGCAGCAGCCATCCACGCTAGGTGCCTAGGTACTCGCGATGCGCAGCTGTGCTGTTGCCAGCTGGCAGCAAACGAAGCAACAAACAGAGCCGGGTATAAAGACCAGATTATAACGAAAAAAAGAATCGAAAATTCGACGATAAGACCTCAATGTGAATTTCAACTTCTTTTAGCAACCCGAAGCCGCCAGGTCGACTCACGCGGGCCTAACATGTTCAGCATATCCTTTGGAGGAAATTACGGGTCAAAACTCATTTGACCCCGCGTCAGATATTAGGAAAGGTTGCTATAATATGCCTACGTATTCTTAAGAGGGATCGGATCGAGTGCCCAACCTTCATGAGACTGACCAATGTGGCCATTTTGCTTCTGACAAGTTGGCAAACGGGCGACCGTCTGTTGCTTCTGCACCTTCTCCTGCTCCTGCTCCTGCTCACTTTGCTACCACATGTGACAGGTTGTCTAACCGGTAGCTATCAGTAACAGTTCTCATTGTTGTTCCCTTTCCTTCTTATTATTGCTCATCAGGCGCGACGCAAACGTAGCCCAGCAGCATCGCCAACTGCCCGAAGCAGACTCCAGGTCAAGTGCCCATTGGCGGAACACGCAAACACTGCAACTATCAATTTCCAAATATATTGGGGTATATGTGAGTGTCGATCGTGTGCATGTTCTGGTACCTTGAGGCTCGACAATTGATCACGGCACACTTCAGACGGCAGGACGCCGGCGAGCCTGCAAACAATCCGTAAAGTTGCTTCCGGTCCTCAGGATATTTGCGCATTGACACTTTACTGACACTCATAGTCTTTCTTCGATATCGTTGACCGTCGTCAAGCTGACCTTGTCCATTAGTGGTCTGCCGATGCTGCATTCCCGATCCACGTTCACCTCGCTGGCCACGGGAGGAAGCTACGCCCGCTCAATGCAGACACGTACAAAGACACGAACCTCTCCAGATCAAGTGTGCTCTCTGCTACCAAATACCCGAAACATTGTATCATGCACGGTACGCGGCGCGGCGCTGTGCGAGGACAAGCCGCGCATCCATTGGTGTGCCAGTGGGCAACTCACGGACGAATTGAGATCAAGTATAACAACTATATAAATCAATATTCCCTCGAGACGGGATACAATCTGATACTGTCTAAGCTAAAAGAACAAGCTGATAGAAGGCACCACTGAGATCCAGGAAGCCCGCGACGCCCAACCTAGATGACGTAGTTCTGGTAGGAAAGAGCCACAAGCAATGGTGCCAGCTTCTGCATATCACTCAATTTGTCAACCCTAAAAGGCCCGTACGGCTGCATCGAGAGAAAGCACTCGGGACCGAGAAGTGCCTCCTGGTACGCCGGCTGGTCAATAGAGTTCATGATGTAGTGGATGTACTCTTGGGTGTATGTCGCAATGGTGACAAAGATCTCACGCTGGTCCTGCGATAGAAGAAGACGCCTTTTGCGAAAACGTTAGCACACACTTTTTTTTGGTTCGGGAACCGTCTCGCTGAGTTGGGTCGACATACCGATACTTGCCGTCCTTTTCCTGCTGACCCACGAGCATCGGAACTTCAGAGATCCATGCGGCCATCTGTGCTGATTCCTGGATCAGAGTCTCCCTTCGCCATCCTCGCTTGGCATTGACGCGGGACGCACGCTTCACCTCAACGATAGCAGTGATGGCATGGGTGGCTGGGAGCTCGGGGGAGTGCTTGTAAGGTTTGTGGTGTTTCTCGGCTTCCCCTTCTGCTTCTCCGCTTGCTTTTCCTTTTCCTTTTCCTTTTCCTTTGCTGGTAGCTCGCTTAGGCATCTTGGGATTTTTTATGGCCAAGTTCAGTCTCACCGGCTTTCCATAGGACGCGCCATTGTTGTCGTCCTTGTTGTTCTTGCTGTTTTTGACCTGGTTGGCAATGCGCTCTGACACGCGTGACGGAGTTCCACTAGGTTTGTTCTTTTTGCCCCGTGGTACACTATTTTTGGCTGCATCACCTCCCTCCCCGCTGCCATCTGCTGCATCACTTCCCTCCTCGCTGCCATCTGCCATGGAGTTGCCAGAGGATGTGGCGGGTTTTCCGGCCCTAGCACGAAGTCCTTGATACTCTGATCTGAATAGAGCTTGCGAGGTGAGCTGCTCCTCAGAGACCTCCCGGACCCTAAACATTCCATCAACAGCGGCAAGATATGCTTTATGAGCCCTGTTCGGAACGCAGAACGTGGAACGACAGGGCCACCAGCCACCATTGATGTCCGCCACGGGCGTTATACTGACTAACGCGTCCAGGAACAAAACAAGTGCAAAGTTGACAATCTCTTCATCTTCCACGCACAATCTTTGTGCAATGGCATCAAGGCTCATTTCGGACACCGAGGAGAGGACTCGTGATGCAGTGTCTGGAGTCTCCGCCGGAGCTCCGTCCTGGTCTGTATCCAGGCAAGCTGTAGGCTCTGGTGGGCTGATCTTGAATTGACGGATCGCGCCATCACCGGTCAACCCTTTAGCAGAGCGTCGCTGATAAAGTTGAACTAGGCCAAACACATATTCGGACGTCGAGTGAGTATTAGCAAAGGATGCTAGGTAGTCTTGCCAAAGGGTAGAGTCTCTCAGAAGCGCGTTTGCTTGATTCAAGGAGCCGGGTTCAAGAGCCAGGTCACTTTCGAGGAAGAGAATATGTTCTGGCGCCTGGTAGATCGTCTTCAACATGTAGAACTGGTCAATTGTGGCCTCTGAGGAAGACTTCGGCTGGACGCCAATAAGCGAGCTGCTTTCGTGACCAGCTCCCTGTATGTAGTTAATCCATTTACCCGGTGTGTCCGGAAGGGCTCTAGCATCCTTTTCAGAAGGATCCATCTTGGAATATAAAAGTCGTAGAAGGTAAAAAAATGAAGTAGTTGGCAAGTGGAAGTGGTGCTGGAAGTGGTGCTCAACGGGTCCATCAGGGAGGATGCCATTGAACTTATAGCTTTCTCAGGCAACGCGGAACTCGGAACTGAATAAGAATAAGTCGAGGAGGTAGGAATATGCTTCCGTGAGCCTTGCACAAGAAAGAGGAAAGATGAGAAACGAATGAAGCTGCGACAGTAGCCCTGCTATCACCCGGACTGCAGCTCTGCTGTGTATTTCTCGTCACTTGCACCACAACTCGGTATTGGACAATATCTGGCAATAAAAATAAAACAACACCCTATTCTTACAGTACATGTGACCATCTTCACGGGGTTTTCCATTTAAGAGCGAAGTACAGGCGCGTATAGTCTGCGCCGTAGAATTGTTTCCTTCGACAGGTACGAAGAGCATATCCTGTACTCGTGCTGTCCAAGTTTGATGTATCTAAATTCCCGCCGCTTTACAGGAATTCTCCCGACTCTGTTGTCCTCCACGTTTCTGATATATATGGGTATATGAAACCACAAGCGCGTAGAGACCAATGCAAATCGGCTGTACTGTTCGAAGGGTACAGGCTGAAAAATTGAGCTCTCATATGTATGAAGCCTCATAAGAAGCATACGCGCCGGTGTGAAGATGTTCCCGAGTGACGTTGTGATATGCTAAAGTACCGACGGGCCGTTTACTATACTTGTGCGGATACATCGTCGATCAGGTTGCAAACGGGATTCAACGGCAGATAAGCGAAAGTACTAAGTCCGTTACTATTGAGCGACTGTGATATGGGATGAGTGGCGAGTCCCGTCTGCTGTGCGACCAAAACAACCATGGCGCGTGATGACGGAACGGGACGAGCGCCGACCCTCTTCCCTTCAACAAGAACTCTCCTGGAGTATTTAAACACGCCAAAAGAAGCTCTTTTTTTTTAGATCAAGTGCAGCAAACAAACCTTATTATTCTAAACATATTATTTACCTTGCGATCTGGGAAAACATGGGCGCTGTGACAGTGACTGGTGTTCGCGATGACTTGTTCCTGCGAGCAGTCGAACCACTTTTGAGCTCATACGACCCATATGTCTCTGAAGCTACTTTGAAGGAGCTCGGAATCACTTTGAAACATCTGGACCTGGAGACGGGCGACATTGATCATGTCAAGGGCTCAGCCAGGATGGTGCCAATGTCCGCCGACATTGTCCGGCAGACACCGGGCGGCGACGGTTTGAGAGAACCTCTAGAGGGAAAAAACACTGATGTCCGCTCTCGTGCTGGATTCGATTGGGTAAATGAAATGCGAAATGATGCCGACGCGCGTTTTTTTCAGGCCTTTTTCATCCACAACCTCGTCGACTCCTACGAGTGCCTGTGGAAGTTCCCGGCCAAAGCCCAATGGCGATTCAGCCGGTGAGTACCCTAAACGCAACATCCTCTGTCGAGTTGAAGTTGTATTTGATAAACCCTCTGCTACTGCCCAGTTCTTTCCGTTAACGCGCCTTCAAGTCACGAAACGGACTATTTATACAACCTCGACCAAGAAGGGCGAGTTTGCTACCAGATCCAGACCGTCTCCGAGCCTGTCGGAAAGGACGGCAAGCTTGATCCAAGCAGACCTTGCATCGTGGCCTACCAGCTTGACAACAGCTGGCTCCAGGACGGCCGGCTACTTTTGAGCGAGCTCAACGCCCTGATTGTGCTTGCTTCGAAATATGACATGGACCCGGCATATGCCAAATATGATGAGCTCGTCGTAAGTAGCTATTGCAGAGGACAAGATGGCCGCAACGAAAGTCCCAAAATCGCCCTGGTGCTGTGCTGACGCTCTGTTGATCCTAGATTACCGTCATCACTGGATGCGACCGGCAGGTACGAGTTGCTCAGAGCCGAGTGAATCTGGCCAAACAGACGTTTGATGTGTGCCTCTCGAGAATATTGGACTTTGAAGAATCAGTCAAGGGGAAGTGGGATGATTGGACCACGTTGCTGGGATGGCTCGCATGCTCGGTGACGCCGCCGGCTCAATGGACCTAGGCATGCGAGGCTTGCGTCGTAGTGGGAGATTGCCCAATGTAGCCTACACAGTATCAGATTGTATCCCGTATCGAGGGAATATTGCTTTATATAGTTGTTATACTTGATCTCAATTCGTCCGTTACAGAGTTGCCTACTGGCACATCAATGGATGCGCGGCTTGCTCTTTCAGTGTGTCGAATTCTGATAGGTAATTCGTTTAGTGATTTATTATATTACGTTCCTACCTTTTACTACTTTTTACTAACTAGTTATGTAATTTATACCTACTGAGCCGTAGGTACCCTTTATAAGTACCCCTCTTGCTCTCTATATTCGCTAGCTTCTTTCCTCCTTAATATTACTGTTTATATTACTGTTTATCTATGTAGAGTGTGATTCCTCTTATGGCACAGAGTTGACCTCATCTTGACAAAATAAGACCCCTCCGGAGTTTGGTAATAGTTTGGCCACCAGTGCCAACCCCCGCCCGCGTGACCTCGTCGAGCCTCTGTCTCGTCGCCGCTAGCGAATCCCAGAGTCAGTCGGAGAACCTTGAGGCAGGGAGGGGGCGACAGCAAACTTGTGCCCCAGAATCGGAATTTCAACATTTGGTGGGGGAGGGGCAGGAAAGGATCAGGTGGGCAGGCAACAAGTCCTTTTTTCGTTGTTGGGTGGTGGGGTTCTCATGATGGTCGTCCGACCGATTGACTGGCTGGTGGCGCCATGGGCTTGGCCGTGACAGCCACGGGCTGGAGACAAGGGATGGAGACCCTGGGGTTGGCAAGGGCTGAAGGATGACGTGGTAGGGATGAAGGATGGTCATGGTCAGCTTTGACAGAGACGAAGCCGCGACAAGGGTCACCAGCCGAGTGACAAAGCGAATCCTGCAGGTGTACTATGATCCAGGGTTGGATATCAAGGGAATTTTCATCTTGTGAGCGTTAATGTTCGACGTTGAGAGTGGACATGTGCATGGCCACAGGTACGCATCCTGCAACGTTTCAACGCGTTGCAGTGTGCTCTGTACGGAAGGGCCGAGTTGCCTTTGGAGGAAGGCCATCGCGGCGCCGATCGTGCGGTTTGCATGCCAGGGCGGCCAAGTTACATTGTTAGCCCGCTTTCCATCTGCCCGTGGGCAGCTCGTAAAACGCCAAGTCAAAACCCAAAATTTCAATCAAACCCCCCACGAGCCGGCGCACTAACAAGATGACGGCATCCTGCACTCGCCCAATGCAGGTGAGGTAATTGTCAAGGGTAAAAAGAGGAAAAAAACGAGAGACAATCAAATTCGGGCAGACATGGACAAAATGTGATGTGTTACAAAATCTCGTGGCTCGGGTGCGAGTTGGCTGCCCAGACAAAGAAGCGAGGTCGCCTTGCAGCTGAAAAGGGCCTTGCTGGCAGCAAATGATTCAGGGTTTTGCCGGTGAATTGTTAGTGCGATGCAGGCGCATCAGCTGTGTCGCTATCATCGGACCTTGTGCTTTGGCACAAGCATGATGAACCATCAGGTGTCAATGCATCTCTCCCCCCCCCCTTGGTGGCGTGTCACAGGCCTTATCGACCTGTGTGTTGCCTTCTGGCAGACTTCCTTTTTCCGCTGCCTGCAGGTCGAGACTGGTCTGAGAGGCCCTCCAGGGATGAAACTTGGGCCGAAATCTGGCCTGCGGGCGCGCAACGCCGCCAGAAAGCTTGTCGCGGGACATTCTTATGTTATTATTAGAGGGGATTCGCCAGCCTCGCAATTATAACAGGTGGCGTTGTAGTCCCTCAAAGGCATTTCTTTCGTTAGCCACCCATTCGGAGACGGAACGGGTAGCCTGAGCCGGTTGAGGTGCACGCCAAGTAGCATTGATGCGTGTTTTTGAAGACACCTCCCAGATTTTGTGTCATGTTCCTTGTCAGCGAGAATCTCACTTGTTCCGGGTGCGTCGAGACGATGAGCCAGCAGATGGAAACGGATTCTGGACAATTCCGCACAACGGTTACGGTCGGACTGGGGCGGGAGGGTACATAGTGCTAACGCCAGCGCACAGGCGTTGAAGAGACAGTCCAATGTCTAAATAGACGGTAACAACCTTACTCTTATTATTAAATAAGCTCGTGCTTGTAAGAGGAAAGGCAAGTCGTTGCCATGTCGTGGCACGGGAAACGGTTCACGGTCGGCATGTCGGCATGTCGGTATAGGGAACGAGCATGATGCACCACGATGCGAATAAGGGTGAGTCAAAATCTCAGTTCAGCCATTGTATCCTTGAATTAGAGGCGCATATTCACAAGTCGCGGTGTTCCGACTCTAGCCTTTTGTCCTGTGACACGGAAATGTCTGCTCAGATAACGCACCAGGCTGCCGACAGGAGTGGATTGATAAGCCACCACCACCATAGCCTGCAGGTCTCGGGTGCCAGATAAGAGTGCCATTGGGCATCAGGGTCCAGAAGATGGACCAGTAGCTGGGGAAGAAACTAGGACGGGAGAGGCACTCCAGCGCTTGCACTTTGGCCCTGTCGGAGCCTTGGCTGCGACACTCCGCACACTGCTGGCTTTCTTGGCGGCACAATCCGGGTAACTACAGCCCGAGCTAGGTTTTGTCTTGCTCGCTCGCTGGGCCTGTGGCATGATCAGTTGTCCAACGTGGACGCAGTTGCATGTGGGCAAAGAAGCGCTTGCCGGATGGTTCGGGTAAACACGACTGGGCTTTCTCTGGTGGCAAGCTATGGGTGGTATGACGCACACGACAGCCTCGGCGCTGGTGTTTTGTTTTTTGTAATGATAGAATGGTAGGTAGCGCGTTGTCGTTCGTTGGCTTGTTATCATGGGTGGCCGTGCCTCGCCGTCATACCGCGATCGGAGGCCGATTCAAAGTTTGTTATCTGGAGCATCAAAGGACAGATAGGGAAAACAGTATTTGGAGGGCGACCAAGTGCTGATAACTTAGTACATACCTACATAACTACTAATGATAACTACGATAACTACCTCCTAGCGGGCGAGCGACCGATAGCGCCTCCGAATTGGGCAGGCACTAAGGGTTTGGGGTGATTGCGGAGGCGGGGCGAGGCTTGTTGGGGCGCTTTTCATCAGGCTGCCTTGACTTGGAGAAAGTGCTGAGTGTATTACTACTATTACAATATAGGGAGGCTTCACACGCTTGCTTGCGTTAAAGCTGACAAGCCATGGACCGTGATTGGGAGAGGAGGGGAACAAGGTGGGAGGACTAGGTTTGGTTAAAAGTCTTGGTAGATTCCGCGAGCGATTGCTGGGCTTCTTTTTCCTCTTTTTTCCGTTTTTGATTTCTTCTTCTGCTAGTATCCTATTGTCAACATTGACTAAATCAAAGCTGCCATTTTACTTGCGCCCGTCTTATCGTCTCCAGGGCCAGGCGCTTACATCCCCTTGCAGGCAGCAGTGCGCAGCACGCAGCGCCTCATCATCACCGGCTAACTACAGGCAGCGCGCGCACTAGAGCTGGCTCGTCGGCCCTCCGAGTCGACCACCGCGACACAGAGCGAGTTCATTCCGATTCACCCGTCTCCGAAGCGCAATATATTTTTTTTTCTCTCAGCTTGTTAAAATTTCCTCGCCGACATTTCGTTCACCGACCAAGGTCAACCAGTGCAAAGCGACAAGTCACATCCAGCGTTCTGTTTAGAGTTGGCGCTGCAGCACGCGCGCGCTGAAAGTTGGCCGCCGCCTCCTCTGCAAGGCACGCACGGCACACCCAAGCCTTGCCTTTTCAGCCCCCGACGACTGCGATAGCCCTAGACCACATTTGAGTCGACAAAGAAGACGGGGAAAACACGCATTTTTTTTACGGATACGGCTACGGAGTACCACAAAGGGCATTCGGCAAGCAGGGATTTTCCCTGTACGACGTGTTACGAAAGAGAAATTCAAGGGACCTGCCTGAATCGCTCAACAGTCGAGGGTCCTTTGCATCCCCCCCCCCCCCTGTTCGCCAATGCGAAATACCCATTACCAATAGACCCTGATCAGCGTCTTTGTGCTTTGCGGGCCCTTTTACCAAGGTACGGTGTCGAGTATCCGTATCCTCTGCAGAAAAAAATCCCGACGATACCCAGCAAGCAACCAGCGTCCGCCTATTGCAATTACGTACCTACCAGGTCGCGCGTTGATACCTGCCCGATTTTACTTTGAACCGGCCGGCCAGAGTCATCATCTATTGTGCTAGCCTTGCCCCGACGTTGCCTGTTCAGGGAGTTGGGCAGTCATCAAGTTGCTCTGGCGGCTCCACTGTTGTGACACTACACTTAGTACCCCCCTCAGCCCAGCAGCGGACATACAGCGGACATTATTACAGTGGTATTACAGCGGTTGCACAGTGGTGACAGCGCCCCTTGCAGCGACCTTATCTGCTGGAAGCACCGGCACTTTAGGTGTTCCCGGCGGCTTCCATCCGCTAACAGACACCCCAAGGCATGCCCCCCACCAGCCAGCCAACTGCTCCGCAAAACTCCCTGGTAGGCCAGCCGGCCAGCAAGGCCTCCTCCTGCTCCCCGTCATGGCTCACGTCTCCTGGTGGTCCACCTCGCATCCGCCTCGCCGCCCAACTGCTCTGACTCCGACTACTTGTACAAGTGAAGCGGCCCTCTCCTCCTCGCCCACCCTCCACTCCTTTGTCCGTTCAACCTCTTCTCTCGCACCTCTCTTCATTCGCGCCAAGTATGCCGACTGCCACCTTGACGCCTCCGTCACAGTCACTGCAGTCCCGCCTTCTCCGTCATCCGCCTCAGACTCGGACGACAGCGAGGCAAACGGCAACAACAACACCGCCACCACCACCACCACCACCATGAGCAAAGGCCGTGGTGAACGACGCTCCTCTTCCTCCACCACTACCACCACTACCACCAAAACGATCGACTCCTCGCGCCAGAGCAAAACGACGACTTCCACCAGTAGTCCCGTCCAGATCCCCCGTCAGTCCAGTCGCACCGGCACCAACCGCGATAAGCACCATGCCTCGCAACGCAGACGCGCAGTCCGCGATGTGCACTCGCCCGATGCCGTGTCCCCCTCTGTCGCTGCTCTCCTGGCCATGACCGACATCCCTCGCCACCGCCAATCATTCCGCCAAAAACGAAAGGCCGAACAGTCTCTGACCGTACAGGACATTGTCCAGAACCAGCATGTCTCCGAGAAGGAGTTAAGCCTGTCCCTAACAGGTAGCCCTCTCGATTTGCTGCTATCGCCGCCAGAGGAGTTTCCAGCTGAAGATTACATGAGTATTTGTGAAAGCACGGATGGCTTTTCATTACGGCACACCCTTTCCTGCGACTCTGTTCCCTCGTTGGGCGAGAGCTACGCCACCGACGCGGCCTCTTCGTTTGATCCATCACCCTACTTTAGCCGGTCGCAACGCACGCGCAGCCCGGCACGAAAATCTCTGGAACCCGTTCGCTCTCCTCCGCACATCTTGAGTGATGAGCACCCGCTATCCGTCGGGGTAGAAGACGATGAGCATGACATCGCGCTGAAACCCATCGAGGAGCCTCCCATGTCCATCTTTAGCGAGCCCTTCAGGCCGCTCAAGGCCGCCTTCAAGTCCAACCTGACGGCGTCGCTGCGCGCCCTCCGATCTGCCGCCAAGTCCTTCTCCAGCATCAACTTTCCGACCATTCCACCCGATGACCTAATTTCCCGGTCCATCCTCACCATTGACCCTAACGTCCCATATACCGACGAGCGGCGGCCTCCGGTCACTGAGGAGATGCCCTCGGCCGAGCTGCGCCGCTATCTCAACCCGACGACACGGCCGCTCGAGGCACAACCTCAGGACGGGCCGCCTCGCCCTCGCCTGGCGTCCATTCAGATGCAGACATACAAGGTGCACCGCGCACGCGTCGCGCCCTCGCAGAGCCTTCCGTCATCAGCCCTGCCACCTGCAGCAGCCAGCTCAACTGGTGCCGGCGGCGTCGGTAGTGGCAACAGCAGCCCCACCCCAAAATCGGACCACGCGGCACAGCCCCAGCAACAGCATCAAAAGGCCATGCTACCCGCTGCCATGCGACAGCGAGAAATCCGCGAGAACCCCGACTTTATCCGCATCGCCGTCATGGAAATGGCCATGCGCAGGCGCGGCAAGCTCGACGACCGCAAGCCAGGCCGCGCGCGCTGGGCCCTGCCCCCTCGCAAGGCACCCATCAAGTCGACCGACGCTGAAGAGATCGGGCCCAACGGAGTCCCGACCCGGTGGATCCCCATGACATACGAGCAATGAGGAGTGTGAAAAATGGCAATGACAGGTAAAAGAGTCATACACACCAAACGGCCTCGGCCAATTGCTCCGGCAGTGGGCCTGCATGAGAAGAAAAAATCTTCTCCTTGTCGCGCCTCGGGGCAAGACCCTGAAAAACTGCCACGTCATGGACGATGACAATGTCGGTATTGTCCACCGGGCTTGCAGTACCCTGGTCCGGGCTGCGGAAAACCCGTCCGCGACGCCTCCTTGCCCTTTGAGGCTTTGTACCCCCTCCCCTGCCCTGCGAGGCATGATGCATCGTCGCATTCAGAAAGCTCGGGCCATGGAAGGACTTTTAGAAGCCCTCTGGAATGTGGTCGATAACATGGCGCGATAACGACTCACCTTGTTACCCTCCGGTGTGTGGTCACAATCGGAATGAAAACGCTGCGGAAAATACCCCCGCAGCTCGGAAATACCCGCTACTGGTCCAATCCCTTCTCGCACACAACACCGAAGGGTGAAAATCCTTCGCACATGTAGTCCGGGAAAGGGGACGATCCTACTGCGGCAGAAGAGGAAGAAGGTATTCTTTCTGTGATTCTGCAGGCTGCGGGCTGATAAAGGGATGGGAGCTATCATATATCGAGAGCCGCGTGCATTTGGGCTGCATCGTCCTCCGTCCAGAATAGGAAGGCCAATTGTTACCTCTGCCCTTTTCAATTTTTCTCACCACCAGGCCCGCTTCAAGCGAGCGCCCCTCCCCATCAAGGACCGCGGCGTCAAAGATCGCCTTTTTTTTTGTGCGTTGCAACTGTCAGTCGGAATTGTGTGCGGCACACATAACTACATGGCCCGCCTCAAGCGAGCATTAGCTCGCATCACAGGGGGTACCTGTTGCGCACGTCGATTTTCCCCTTTGACGCGCTTTTGCACACACATGCCGCAGGCCCGCTCCAAACGAACTGAATCCGGTATCCAAAACGCAGCTCAACAAGGAACAACAGGATCCAAATGACACACCACCTACATACCTTCATTTCACGGGTTGCTCTCAACACTTTTTTTTGGACTAGCAGCAGGAAATCACATTGCCTCGGAGTTTCGTTTCTTTTTTCTTGGGGTACATTTCTGTTTTGGTTTAGCCTCTCGAGTCCCTGGGCTTTTTTGTATTACACGACGCCACGTTGCGAAACTGGCGGTCTAGCATCCATGATACCATTTTTTATTTTTACCTACCTACATTCTCGTGGTCAGATATTTTCAAAAGAATCTTCTCTACTCACAAGTTCTGCTGGATGCTGTGGATATGTTTATGCCGTGTTTCTCTACTGCCACTTCCAAGACAACACTCGATGCAGGCAGCCGAGTTCCGTGCCCTGAAGCGATTAATCCACGTGCACTAATCCTCCTTTTGTAGCTACTTTGTTTCAGAATTTCATCATCTATCATTACGTTTCTAGCTCATTGCGTATCCCGGTCTAAAATGTAGACTATTGAACCAATGCTCACGTAGCCGAGCGACTGATTGGACGACCAAACGAGCAGGAAGTACTAAGTTTACCTATTGTAGAAGAATTCATTAGAGGCCGCGAAAAGAAAGCAAGGGACCGCTGGTCGCCACCTCGAGAGCAATTATGTCGCTAATATCGCTCTTGGGATGTTTCCAAACCTAATTTCGTACTCAATTCATCACGGCATTGCCCGCCTCCGTGATAACTATACAGTGTGCGTACAGTGCGACTGTTATCCTCACCAAATTCAACGTTCATCGCACTTACACGGATTTGGACCGACGTTATATTCAGCCTGGGTGATCTTTTGTCGATCCTCTGCTCCATCGCTGATTTAACTTTTTGATAGATGAATAAACGCGAGCCTCATCGTCGGCCCTTGGCTGCCGAAAGGGTGCCAAGACGGCCAACATCCATCCTCTGGCTGGCCTTCTTGTTCCCAGCAAGGCTCTGAGGGACACTGTCTCGAGACTTGCCGCGCCTCGTTTACCGATTTGGCTGAATTTGGGAAGGTTCCATCACTCATGCCATGTGACTAGAGGGTCTCCTGGTCCCGGAATCCTTGCAATCTGGCTTGACGTAGCCAAGCATACAATGCATGCCAGCACCACGGCGCCAATCCAAGGAGGTAAGGCTCCGAGAAGAGGGGGTTTTTCGTTTATCCCAATCAACCTAGTACAACCAATAAGAGCCCCGTAGGCGAAGAGTGTGGACTTGACATGACAAACGCACACTAGAGCCGCTGCCGGATGTCGGTAAGACGAGAGTCTGCTTATTCCGTGTATTGTCTGTCAGGTGCGAGTGGTCCAAGTCAAGGCACAATATCCGATCCAGAGTAAATCAATGCAAGGATAGACTTTCAGTATCAATCCGCCATATATCGGGCAACTTGTTTTGAGCAACCGAGTCGTGGGCTTTTTGCCTCCTTTTTCTTTTCCTTTTCCTTTTCATTTTCCTCTTGTACTGCGTCGCTTGTTGTCGATTTCCAATACTGTATGCAAATCGCATCACACCAGACAACACTGTTCGTCGAAGTCATCGGTCAGGTGAGAGTTGTCTAGTTTGTGGGAAAATAACAGTACCTTTCCATACGCTTGAGCATGGCATACATCGAGACCGATACTACCGCCTCCTACCTTTCCTTCCTCTCCTACCTACGATTTCGTCCCATGGATCAAAACCTGTATCAACTCTCTGCCACGGCGCTGCAGGCCAAGTTGACTGCTGGAGAAATCACCAGCGTTGATTTGGTCGAGTCGTGTTTGGCTCGCATCGAGCGATACAACAGCCGCCTCAACTGCCTATTGAGCATCCGGCCACGAACGCAGCTCTTCGCCCACGCCGCCGCATTGGACGCTGAACGCCGTGCGCGACCCAGCGCCACGCGAAGTAAGCTGCACGGCATTCCGATCATCTTAAAAGATGCCATTGTCACAGGTCCCGAGCTGGGTATGCCGACAACAGTAGGTTCTGCGGTCTTTTCTAATATGACAGCCAAACGCAACGCCCCGCTGGTAGATCTGTTGCAGGAGGCAGGCATGATTATCCTCGGCAAGTCCAACATGACGGAATTTTGCGGCCTCAAGTCGAATTTCATAAAATCCGGATGGAGTACGTGCGGAGGACAAACAAACTCGCCCTACAGAAAACGGAACTTCAGTGAAGCGGATCAGCCTATCACGGCAGGGTCGTCATCGGGGTCAGCCGTGGCAGTTGCCGCCGGTTTCGCTCCCCTATCCATCGGAACCGAGACTTCAGCTGCTTTGGTATATCCAGCGAGCGTTTGCGGTGTATATGCATATAAGTGTGGCCATAATTCGGTCCCAATGGAAGGCGTGTTCAGCATCAGCGAGAGTTATGACTGCGTCGGGCCTATCGCAAGGGATCCGAAGGATATAGTTGCTCTAGCTGAAATATTGCAACAGAATTCCAGGTTCAGTATGGTCATTGCGTCAAGTGCAGGCGATGCCGGGCAAGAATTCCGCGGCTTTGCTGTCGGCGTCGTCGCAAGCACATGGGGAGTGCACGAAAGCCTTGTTGCTGCAAAATGGGGAGATGCACAAGTGGTACGTCTACCGCTTAGAACTGGACGGCGAATTAATGTAACTCTCGTTTCACCAGATAAAGGAATACGAAAACGCCGTCGCCAAGATGCGAGGTCGAGGGGCCCGTGTCGTGTATCCCCTCCAGGCACCGGAGTCGGATAGTATACGATACGACGGAGAGAATCTGATCAGCACGTCTTGTAAGTAACTCTAAGGAAGTCTCAATCATTGACTCGACTTTCTGATTCTTTCTGGGGGGTAGATGGCGAATTCAGCGGCAGAGTCAAGGAGTTTCTCCGATGTTTCGAATTCGCCGGCATTAAAGACCTGAAAGATATCATAGCCTGGAACGACGCCCATGCCGACACGGCACTGCGACCTCGTATGTGAGCCTTTGGACATTCAGTTTCGGGCGACCAGAAAGGGAAAGCTATGATACTCACATGCCTTAGCTTATGATACGCAGACCGAGCTCATTGCTGCGGTAAACAGCAAAATGCAGCCAGAAATGCTCCGAAACATCGTCCCACGTCTCCGCCATCTGGCAGGCAATAACGGAATGTCTGAGGTTATGCGACGCAGCGGGGACCTTGACATTGTGCTCTCGTCATCCGAATGCCAGCTCGTCACCTACGCCGCCACCGCGGGTTGGCCCTGTGCGACAGTACCCTTGGGTAACTGGCGGAAGAATGGGCAGCCTTACGGCATGTTTGCACTATCAAAGGATGGCGAGGAAGAAACGCTACTGGGATTTGTCAGTGCATGGGGAAAGGTATTCGAAGGTGTGCAGGGACCAGATTTAGAAATGATGCCGAAGGAAAGTGCTCGAGGAAGGCGAGAGTCCACTTCAGGATCCTTGCCATGAAACCCAGGGTATCTATCAAACAGCGCAGCCCGACAGCATACATCTGCGATTACGGGTTATTCTCCTTTGAATTTTTTTTAATTTAGCTACTTTCGTGAATTTTACCGTCACACCTCAAAATAGGCAATTCTTTATTGACTGCTTTCGGTATCAGAAGTGAAGCACTTGCCGCTTATCGATAACCCCCAGGCAGCGAAGCTAGTGCGGGGCAGCACGTCCGGCACTCCACCAACTCACCTCCTACATCGCCCTCCGTCTTGACGGCAAACGCAGTCAAGATGGAAACGGCTCTCAAGTCCTGGGGTAAGATGACACCTCTGAGGTTGACTATGCTTTCATGTGCTAACTACAGTAGAGCTCGATAACAATATCAAACTCATCGATCCAAAGCGGGATGCTCTGTACCAGTACGATGCAGAGGCGCAGAAGGCGGCGCAAAACGCCCGGCCGTGGATGGTTGACCCCAGCTATTTCAAGCATGTACGCATCAGCGCTGTTGCCCTGATCAAAATGACGATGCATGCCCGATCTGGTGGCAACCTCGAAATCATGGGTCTGATGCAAGGCTACACCGAAGGTGACACGTTTGTTGTGACCGACGCATTTCGACTCCCCGTCGAGGGCACCGAGACCCGTGTCAACGCCCAGGGCGAAGCGAACGAATATATTGTCGAGTATCTGGACCTTTGCCGTGCCCAGGGCCGCCAAGAAAACGTGGTCGGATGGTACCATAGCCATCCCGGCTACGGCTGCTGGCTGAGTGGTATCGATGTCGATACCGAATCCATGCAGCAGCAGTTCCAGGACCCGTTCCTTGCTGTTGTCGTCGACCCAGATCGCACAATAAGCGCTGGCAAGGTCGATATCGGGGCGTTTCGCACATACCCGACAAACTACAAGGCCGACTTCTCCGGGACGGATGGATTCCAGGCAGTACCGCTAGCCAAGGCAGCCGAATTCGGCGCTCACTCGAGCAAATACTACAGCCTCGAGGTATCGCACTTTAAAAGCTCGCTCGACACACACCTACTAGAATTATTGTGGCACAAGTATTGGGTGCAGACGCTCAGCCAGAACCCTCTGCTTACGAATCGCGACTTTGCGAACAAGCAGATGCTCGACCTCGCATCCAAGATTAGGGAGGCCACCGCCACTATTAGACGTAACCGAGGGTCGCAAATTCTAATGGGTGGCGCTGTTGTAGCGAGCAAATCAGGGGACAAGGCGATGCAGAAGTTGTCGAGCGAGGCGAGCATGATTGCTGCAAAAGAAAAGGCTGGCTTGTTAGCTACCGGCGTCAAGGTTTCTCTTTTCAATGAGTTGGGGGATCAAAACAGGACGTAAGATTATGCATTACTGTATAGACATGGTAGCTGGGAACGATGAGAGTGCTTTCAGACATGTGCATGGGTGGTGAAGAGCGTGGTAGACTAGATGAAATCTTGGCGACTCGTTCGCGGATCAACTCTGCGATAGTCGCTGCTATGCTTATCAAACATTGCTTTTCCGATTCATCAATTCCACATTAAACCGGGTTAATAAGCCCAAGCTCATTGCTTAGGGTATTAGGAAGCAAGTACCGAATTATGACATCGCCAAAACACGACGATTAGACATGTTGATCTGAAGCAGCTTGACGCGGCTTGACAACGCGTGCGACCCCGACCAGGCAGAGGAAGGTCATTTACAGTTTCATCATCCACGTACCAAGATGGAGTTTTGAGTATTTTACAACGACTACAGCAGACAAGAGGGGAGCTAGATGTTGTCATGACTGCTGAGGTGGTGTGCTACCCTGAATACTCGCGAGGAGGAACAACCAACCGAACGAAAAAAGCCACACTCCCCAGAACAGGCAAGATGATCGGGCGAGCGTTTGCCGAAAAAAAAAGAAGAAAAAAAAAACGTGCGCGTCGCACATGGCGAGTACGCGATCTTGTCGTGATGGCTACGTCATGAAACTCAAAAAAGCCGTTGCGAGTGCAGGCATCATAATGGCATCAGCACGGTGAATCTGGTTGCGGCGGCGCGTTGCCAATCGTTGCCCATTGTGGCTGAGATGGGCCGGTGCGCCACAGCTGGAAGTGGTTTGAGCATGGCGCGAACCTTACGAGATGGAAAGCCGGCTGGATCCATGTACCTGAGGGCCTATCTTTTTTTTTTGGTGGACTCTGATGAGGATGGGGAAATAGCAATTGGATTGGCGCAAAGAAAAAGGGATGTCGGAAACGAAAGTTGCCTGTGAACAATTGCGGCGACTTCCCTGTCCAAATTACAGATCAATGGGACGGAAGTGGATTCCGGGCCACGAGTCCAATGGGGCCATTCAGTCAATTCGGTACGGTACGGATTCCTCCGTACGGTAGTTATCTGTATGGACGTATGGACATTCTTCTTCCTCTGGCATTGTGGCAGTGTGGCAGCAGAGAGATCTGAGTCAAGACGCGCATAGTTCAAGAGGACGGTTGAAACCCTCTGTATTACATCATGCAGCCTGATGGAGAAGGTACAACGAGGAATATTGGACGACATGCGCTGTGCAGACCTCTTTCTTCGCTGGTCATGGTCGTGTGCTCCCCTGTCGTGCTGAAGGCTGGTGGGCCTGAGGCGTCTTCACATGCAGCACGAGCTGGATTGAGTGGTGGAGTGGACACCCACCTCGAGGCCGTTATGCGTTATATGGCGAGATCAATGGGCAAACTATTGATTGCCGTTGGGAGGCGGTGCACATAGACATCTTGCGGTGCACTAAAGCTGTAACTTCCAAGCAAAAGAGGGAGCGGATGCAATTGCCAGGGAAATACAGATTAGAAAGGGAGGAAAGCAAGAGGGTGGACGGAACTGAAGAGATTGCAACTTTGGAAGCATTAAAAAGTTTTTTATAACTATAGTACCTAGTGAGAATCTTCTGCTTGCGATCCAGATCGGGGGGCGTGCATGTAACACGCCAGCAACCTTGATTTCTGCACCGCCACAATGTTTAGGCGCGCCGCGCAGGGGGCAGTTGTTGCTGGGTGCAGCTAAGGGAGTTGTTTATTTAGTCGAGCTAGAAGCGGATTAGCGATATGTGAAGCCCCCTTGGGTTCTCTTTTTTTTTTCTGTGTTTCTTCACCAATTGGTTGCGCAATAATTTTAAATTGAGTTGAACTAGTCAGCTGCGTGCGATGCTGGGTGTGGCTAGTGCAAGCTGTTCTGGAACTCGCATTGACGTCATGACTTTTTGCGTTGGTGCAGGAAGAGCTTCTCGAATAAACATTTTTCTCCTGAGGGGGTTTTGCAACATGGATACATATATATCTCAAGTCGACTTCTTTTCTGCAACAGGGGGCATTTCTTTGCAAGACAAGGGAAGGGGGTGCTGCTGCACTGTATGGTAGCATGAGGCCACAACGAAGTGACAGGTACTTCGCCAGCTGAGGCCAAGCCATCGGCAAACAGCTGCTGCTGCCAGCGAATCGGTGAAGTGGAGGTTCTGTTTCGGCCAGAGTCCTCCCCCAAAGTCAATTTGGGTTGGCGTCGGCGGTCATCGACCCATTTTGCTCGCTTGTTACCTACAAATTACATGGGTGGGGTCCGTCGCCATCAGTCGTGACAGAACTTATTGGTAGCGACAAAAGTTTAGCTTCAAGGAGTACACGATATCTTCAGGAAACCTAGCATATAAAAGACAAGAAAGAACCAAAAAAAAAAAAAGTAAAGGTATCAACAAGGACGACTGCAACCTCAGTGTCATCGGCTCAGCTTCACTTCCTCCTGTGGCTGCTCCATCCGCGCCGCACCAAGATCGACGGCAGCAGCCTTTTTTGCATAAAAACAAACCCGCAAGGATCCACTGTCAATTTCGGTTTCAAAAGTCCAACTCAGTGCCAGTGCTGGTTGCAAAGCGTCTGTCAGAACGGCTGGCGTTGTCCCTACCAGTTCCAGTTGATGCTGTGGCTTGACTTGTGGCACTAGCCGCATGCCACATGCCACACATGCCACACCCCCCCTTCCCCGTCATCCCTGATGAATGCGTTCCTGGCTTCAAGGTTGCAAGCGTGAATTGACATTGCACAATGCTAGATCGAGACCTTCAGGTTTTCCTTCTTCCCTGCTCGGCTAGCTTTATCCACCTAGTCTCGGACGCCCCTCCCACCCCAAAATGCAGAGAAACCAGTTGCTGTTGCTGTTGCTGTTGCACCGCTTCGATTGCTATGACGTACCCACGGTGCCCGCCTAACGTCACCATCTCAGCAAGCTTTCCCAGCTCTCGCTGGCCCCAGCTTATCCTCCCTCTGCGCAGCTCGTATAAACACCCCTTCGACTGCCTTTTCGCTGCTCAGCTCTCTCCTCTTTCTTTTCCCTCATCCGATTTTCTTATGTATACCCTCCTCTTTAATACCCAAAACACAAATCCTCGATTTTGATACCCCAAGAAGATACCAGATACCCGCCAAATCCCCCCCTCTAACTAATTAACGACTACGCTTCCGTGCCACTTCCGTCTCGTGCTTCACCTTTGACTAGGCTAAAGTATCTAATTTCAGCAAACCAACATCCAATTCATCCAAAAGACGTCAAACCAATTCAATAGTCATTGCCCGTCATGGCTTCCGCCAACGTCAACCGCCCTACCAACATCAAGGAGAAGGATGCCGACATCAACCGCAAGCTTCAGATCTACGGCATCTTCCGCGCCTTCAAGGCCGGCAAGGTCCCCTCTGTACGTCGTCCAGCCGCTCGCCAAACACCCAGTGATCGATTGCTAATCAATTCCACAGAATGACCAGATTGATGTTGCCTTAAACAGCTTTCTCCAGTCCGATGTTCTCGCCAAGCCTTCCACCAAACTCTCCGACGATGGCAAGCTGCTTGTTAAGGACACCCGCGAGGTCGTCAGACTCGCCAAGAACCTGATCCTCTCCAAGAACGACGGCAACCTCCTCCAGGACTTCATCTGGCAGACTACCCAGTTTGACCCCAAGTCTGTTCAGGGCCCCAAGGCGCCCGTCACCAAGGACGCCGCTCAGAAGGATGGAGAGGAGGCTCTCCAGGGCCTGAGAACCCTCGGAACCTTGCTCATCACCAACGGCCAGTTCCGAAAGCTTCTCAAGGACTCTTCTGTTCTCTTCCGCGACATGGCTGGTGATGCCGCCGGTAATGCCGCCGGCCGCCTCCGTCCCTCGGAGGACGACCTCGCTCAAATTGACCAGGCTGCCGAGGATAACACCTGGCATGAAGCCCCCAAGTTCAGCAAGGCCGACCTTAAGAAGCAGGCCCAAGGTCTCTACAAGGGCAATGCCAAGCAGGATGTCCAGGACGTGGCTAACAGCGCCAAGGCTGCCGCTGCTCCCGCTTCTGGTGACGCCCGCGACGCTAACGTCGCTGCTGGCCACAGTGCCGCCATGTCGACCCTCCAACAGAAGCTCGACAAGAATGTTGACCCTGAGACCCAGGAGAAAATCAAGCAGAAGAACGCCGAGCAGCGCCGCAAGGCCAAGGAATATTTCAACAAGAAGATGCCCACTGAGCGCAAGGATCAGATCATCTTCCGCCTCAAGAAGATGGTTATCGAATGCCAGCAACACACCGACTACTCTCAGGCCATCCAGAGCCTGCTCCGCCTGGCTCGCCAGTATGGCAAGCATGGCCAGTCCTACGGCAAGGAGTCTAGTGGCTCTCTCAACCAGGCCCGCAGCGGATTCGCGGCCGCGGAGGCTGATCTCCGCACCCTTATTGAGCGCTTCGCCAACGGCACCTCCACCTCCAACCTCTGGAAGTCCATCGGTCAGATTTACGAGGATGCTCAGAAGGATTCCGAGCTCAAGGGCTGGTTCAGCAACATGGACCGCTACATCAACCGCCTCCTTCTCGAGCAAGGTTACGTTCTAGAAGAGCAGTCCACCAAGGACTGGGATGTCCTTTACCAGCAGGGTCGTTACCTGCTCCGCGAGAAGTACAAGGCCCATACCAACAGCGTCATTGACGAGGTCAAATTTGTTGGCGACCAGTTCGACAAGGACCCCCAGAACAAGCAGTTCGGTGCTGCTGTCCAGAAGCTGTTCAAGGACCTTGGCAATGGCTCCGACGGCAAGTCCGAGTTCAAGCCTCACCTTATCAAGGATGTCTTTGATGTCATTCTGCCCTCTATCCTCCGCGACATTGCCTACATCCCCATTCCTCGCATCGAGTATTCGGACCCCGGCTTTGACGCTGTCATTGAGAACCTCATCCTTGAGAGTGATAACTTCATGCCCAACGTTGCGGAACTCGTCTCTAACAACAACTGGAAGTGGGGCCGCAAGAACATTGCCAACCGCAACCAGAATGTGATTGACCTCAAAGTGTCGGGCATCCAGATGGACTTGCGCGATGTCAGCTACCACATTAAGCGCAAGACTGGCTTCCCCAAGGTCACTGACACGGGTGTGGCCGACATCCTCCTGCCCGGTGATGGATTCTCCTTCCGCATGAAGGTATCCACCGCTGACAAGAGGGATTCCCAGAAATTCTTCAAGGTTGAAAAGGTCGACGTTGACTTCAAGAGTCTGAATGTCAAGCTCAAGAAGTCCAAGTTCAAGGGTCTCTTCGCCATCTTCAAGCCTGTTCTGCTCCGTGCTCTCCGCCCCGCTCTGCAAAAGGCAGTTGAGAAGGCCATCAAGGACAAGTGCAACGACTTCGACCGCACCCTGTACGAGCTCAAGAAGGAGGCTGAACTGGCTGGCGAGAACGTCGGCGAGGACGGCCAGAAGGCCAACTTCTTCAAGCGCTTCTACGACGCCAGCCAGAAGCGCGCCCTCAAGAACAAGCAGGAGCAAGAGAAGCTCAAGAAGAACAAGCCTGAAGACAACAAGAAGATCAACATCACCATGACTGATGACGAGTCTATCTTCCCTGGTCTTAAGCTGCCCGGTGGTGTTAGCTCCAAGGCTACCGAGTACAAGCAACTTGCGCTCAAGGGCGAGAAGTGGGAGAGCCCCGTCTTCTCCATCGGTAAGGCCAGCAAGAGCACGGACATTCCCACTGCTCCCAAGATCGTTAACAAGACCCGCGGTGCAGGCAATGCTGCCCCAAGCGGAAACGGTCTCGGTGCTAGTGGCAACGGACTTGCCAGCGGTAACAGTCTGGCTGCTGGTAGCGGACTCGCCTCTGGCAACGGACTCGCCACTGGCAACGGCCTCTACTCCAATGGCAATGGTCTCCGTACCAACGGCAACGGCCTCCACGCCGTCGGCAACGGTCTCGCGAACGGTAACGGCATCAAGCAGGCCACTGCACCGGCTCTTGATACCACCAACCCCGTCCGTCTCAGCTAAGCTGAGCGACTAGAGCTGGATGTCAAGAAGAAAAGACGGAAAATTAGGGTGCGAAAAATGTTTTGGTGGATACGAGTTATATACCCATGGTGTGTCTATTGTGTTGGTCTTTTGCTGTATACTCTGGTTTACAGCCTCGCACCACAACCCTACTACGGCTCGAAGCCCACTATCCTTTGAAGTTTCCTTATTGTAATAGTTATTCTTGGATATTAATGATACGGACTATATTTGTTATATTCGACTTTGAACATTGTCGTAGCGTGTTTGTCAACGATGTGGTGCAACTTTAAAGATGGTTATGGCGGCACTGGTATTTCGACCATACCAACAACTCCCGCACCGAGGCATGATGAGTACCTGTAGTTCGTCGTAACTAGTGTCGCTAGCGCAGTGCGGGGAGAGCGTCGCGTGCTCGCAACGCGCCATTGGTGAGTGATGGTGATGTTGTGTCTTGTCGGGTCGGAGGCATCAATATATATGTAGACATCAGGACCAAGATAACCAGATGATGCGTACATAGAGCTCAAAACAAAAATCTACATCACATGTACCTAGTAATGGAAGATGGCCAGTTTTCTGGTGGATCGCCACATACCTATGTACTGTACTGTACATGCCTACAGTCAGTGCAGGGTGGAGACCACCAACAGCGCTGTTGCAACGTACACATTATACTACAATTATCTGCACCACAAGCGGACACGGAGAAGAACCTAGTCAGTCTCTAATCTGAATTGCCGCCATCTCGAATATAAACCGAGGCATGGCACCGTCTGTGTGTCAGATGGTGCGGGGGATGGTTACGTGTTGCCTCTGGGGGTCCTTGTAGGCGACTCAAGGTGGGTGGGGGGGGTTTGTCTCAACGATGGCTCGCTTCGCCTGTTCGTTTGCCGTTTACACAACCTCGCAACTCAACTCCATCATTCTATACGAAGAACTTGAGACCAGCATCAACCGTATTGATTTGCATGTGATCAAGCTGTGTCTAGCGAGGAACACGAATACATCCAAGACGTGGCCGATGACGCAGAGACGAGCACCAACCCCTTAGGCCAAAGTCTCAACGAAGCTACCCGTCGGGGCTGAACGCGGCGCAGTTCTTCTCTAGACAGACATATAATTACATCCTCTCGACCATCATCGCCTAAATCTAGCATCTTGCGCTCATCGACACCGTCGACGCCATCGACGCCATGTCTCAATCACAGATCCTGACGCCGGAGCAAACGCACGCCCTTTTTGACATCCTTACCCACCATGAAACATACTCTGAAATAGAAGCCTTCAAGTCCCCCGACGGTGTTCTCACCCACGGATTCCCCTTTCGTACCAAAGAACAGCAAGCGCGTGCCGCCCAAAACGGCGCACGCCAGGACATCGCAGCCCCGGCACCGACCGGCGGGGGCGGGCTGACAGGCTTCGCGCTGAGCCTCTGGGGCGGCGGCCGCTCCGACAGCAGTGCCGGCGCTACGCCGACGCCCTCGGCGCCCGACTCGCCGCGCGCTTACACGCCATCAGTGGCGGAGTTGTCCCCTAGCGGCAGCGACGCCGAGGGTGACGCCGAGGACCTCGACACTCTGTCGGCGCTGCCGGTCATGCAGCTGCTTACGTCGACGTTTATCATGCGCCTGCCGGCCATCAAGGCCCTGCCGCGGGACTATTGGGCGGTGCGCGTGCAAGGGCTGTTGAGCCGGTTCGCCGAGGCAAGCCTGTCAGAGAGCTACGACAAGGGGGCCATGGGCGCGCGCAAGACGCTGGCGTCGGGGTCCGGGTCCGTCATTGAGATGATTTCGAGGGGGTTCCTGGGCGGCGTGGGGCGACGGGGTGATGAGGGCGTGACGCCGACGACAAAGGCGCTGATTGACAAGACGTACAGCCTGCAAGAGGGCCAAGAGCTTGTGCGCGCGTGGCAGGACGTCCTCGACGGGCTCGTCTACGGCGACTTGGTTGACAAGATGTTTGACTACCTCGCCAGCACGGACAAGCTCGAGGAGCACTCGGCCGCCGTCGACGCCTCCAGCAACTACATCGTCTTCCACCTTGCCGCACTGCTGCACCACGTCTTTGCGCTGAGCCCCGATGGGCCGTACCTGCTTAAGCTGCTCGACGGCGTGCACAGCTTGATTCCCTACAAGATGATCAAGCAGACGCTGCGCATTGGCAACGCGGCCACCATGATTAATGGCATGATGCGGCTGCTGCTGGCTAAGCTCAGCGTCACGGGCCTGACCAACTGGCTGGGCGTCACGCAAAACGACGACGACGGCATGAACCTGCTGCAAAATATCATATCGCTGGTGCTGTCCCGCGACGCGGGGGAGTTTAAAAAGGCGGTCCAGCGCATCGACAAGATGCAGGGCGGCGATGGCGCGCCGAGCCAGGCCATGCGCGACGCCATTCGGGCGCATGTGGAGGACAGTCAAGCGGCGCAGGCGGCGATGCGACAGGCGAGCGTCGACGCCGAGGAGTCGATTGTGGTGGCGCTGCTCAGGGCCAGCGATCCGGCGCTGGTACGTCAGATGACCGAGGCGCAGCACACAGCGTGTCTCGAGTACTACTCGGCGCTGCTGTCGATGCGCGACCGCGACGCCATCACGAGGGTCCTGTGTCGGCAGCCGCCGGACCTCTTTACGCGTGCGCTCAGGGAGGCAGTGGCCGCGTACAACCCCATCATCCGGGTCGTGCACGAGCGCGTCGACCTCGGCTCCCACCTACAGGACCTGCAGACGTTCATCACACAGTTTCTCCGCACGAGCACGCCCAAGAGCGGCGCTGCCGTCACTGTGGAGGATTACGTCAAGCTGCTCAACGACCACAAGCCGCTGCTGCACAAGTTTGTGCACGCCGTGGGCAAGAACTGCCCCGAGGTCTGGGGCGACCTGCGCGCATGGAGCAACGCGTCGATTGTGCGCTTCCGGCAGCAGACGACGGCGGCGGCGACCGGTGAGGGCGGGGTGAAGAAGAGTGTCATGGACGAGGCTCTCCAGGGGCTCGTCTCTGGGCTGGACGCCACGGCCCGCGCAAAGGTGCTGACTGCTGTGGACGCGCATGCGGGCTACCTCGCAACGCTGAAGAAAGGCTCCGATGCGCGTCTTGACCAGCTGGCCACGCAGACGACAGGTGGCAGCAGCAGCAGCAGCAGCAGCAAAAGCAGCAGCAAAGAGAGTACTGGCAGCTGGGGCCCGGGTGTCTACCTCGCGCGCTGGCAGGATATCCTCGACGACACGCTCATCACGCCGGCGTGCGCGGCGCAGCCCGCCACGATGCGGCGCGGCGCTGACGTGCGGCACCTGGCGACGCTTGGCAAGACGGGCGTCGCGGGCGGGAACCTCGGAAGGGCGGACGAGGCGAAACACAGGACGGTGCCGCGGGCGCCGGATGTCAAGATTGTGATCGGGTCGTTGGGCGAGGCGTTTGGTGCGCTGCTGCAGACTTTGAATATGGAACGCAGAGTGTTTGGGAAGAAGGAGACAGGGCGTACGTGAATATTTTGTATGTCCCTACTATCTATTATATCTATCAAGGTCGTGATAGATCTATGAGCCCCTACTCCTTGGAGTCTCTTCAATGTCTGTTCGACGTGCTCTGACCAGCAGCCGAGCGTCCTTCAGCCTTGTACCATGATAAGACAGTTTCCTCTCCGACAGAAGTGCCGGCGCTTACGCCGACGCCCCGTTGGCATTCCTTCATGGCAGCATCTAAGTCGTTGATGTTGGCCGGCGGGAAGGGGCCGCAGGTTTGCCACTTTTTGCCCTTTCGAAATGGAGTTGGCCGGAACAAGCACACTTAATTACACACAACCTGGCGTCCTTGGGCACATGGCTAGAGTCATTCGCCAATATTAATGTAAGCTGCGTGGCTCCGATTTTGGTTTCTTTCTTTTGCGAGGGCGAGGCACCACATGCAGGCTTGAGGCACAGACCTGCAACGACAGACCTGGCGTTATGTGACGAGGATGGTTAGAATCGATTTCTATTCAATGCAGCATGCTAGATGATATCAAAAGCGACGCATTAGTCTGACAAGGGATGGGGTATCCCGAGAGTCATACTATCCGACAGAGACCCCAAGTTCATGGCGATACTATGGCAGCACGTCTGGAAGCGCATGAGCACTAAGCTGGTGCACACCACGGCATACCATCCCCAGACGGATGGTCAGACAGAGAGAGTCATGCAAACGATCTCTTCGGCCATTAGGGTCTACATCTCTGGATTATTATTATATATAACTATAATAGCATAATAATTATTGTAGGGTATATGAGACCCCTCTAGAGCCCACATAACCCACAGAATATATCATTATCACACATAACCACAATGGCATCCGGTGATTTCGGTAGATCACTTGGAGCCGGCTCACGGGCCACCGGCAGAACCTGACGGGCCGCCAACAGACGCACGGACAGCCATTGAAGAAGCCAGCCGCGCAACTCCGCAGGCCAGAGAACCACAGAAGCACGCCTCGACACCAAAGCCACCTCAGCTTCGCATGAAGGACCACGAAATCGTCTAGATAATAAACGAGAAATAAAAGGATAGCACACGATTTTTCCGAGTGCAATATCGTGACCTAGACGAGAGTTACGACGAGTAGTTGTCCGCTAGAGAGTACTCGTCGTCCGCTAGAGAGCTAGGCAAACACGTAGTAGCAGTATTAGAAGATTAGACGTTAAATAAACGCCGTTTGTTATCAGACCGCCTAGCAACACGACGTTTATAAAACCACCATTTCCCCCCCCCCCCCCCCCAGCATATCTTGGAGGTTATATCTTAGAGGGGTATATCTTAGAAGGGTATATCTTGGAAGGTTATATTATAGAGGTTATATTTTAGAATGTTAAGGGATAATTAGTAGTAAGGACGCTACTATCTATAATAGCAGTATATTATAGGGTATATAAGACCCCTCTAGAGCCCACACAACCTATAGAATATATTATCATTATATATAACCATAATAGTATAATACTATCTAGGTAGCTAATAGTAAGGTTAGATATAATCTTTACCAAAAGTTAGAGGTATAGAGTAAGGGTAACTTTATATATAGCAACAATAGTAAGGTTCTAAAAGTCTATTACTACCTTTAGTTTCTTACCAATAATATATATATTAAAGCTAATATAATAATAATAAGAAAATTCTTTAAATTCTATTAAAATCACTATAATAAAGAAAATAATAAAAATAGTAAAAATAGTAAAGATATAAGGAAGTATTTAGAGTATATTTATTATGGTAATAGACTTTTAGAACCCTATTATAAGTAGGTAATTATGTATATACGCGAGTAAGGCCTGTTTTTAGATAGGGTACTAGATAGGTCGCTTTTTTAATAGATAATTTCCCCTGTCACAACGCTGTTAGGTTGCCACTACGTGTTAAAAAACATTTATATTTTTTATAAGCCGTGTTAGAGACGTCAACAGCGTTGTGACAGGGGAAAATTACATGTTAAGCGGAAAACGTGTCCAGTGCCCTGTCAGAAAACAGGCCTCACGCGCGTAGGTAGTTACACACATGTGCCACAAACAATCACCGCTTACCCCAGCACCATGTCTGACCTCGATATCAACGATTCCAAACCAAACATGTCCACTCTATCGCGGGCCACAGACCTGATACCAGCACAGTGGGCGGGTAAATAATAGGTGGTTATGGGCCGTTCGTTACTCGACCCGCATCGCGTTCCCGCTTCGTCTTTTTAAGCGCCCAGCGCTATCTTTTCATCCCTCTACGCGCCCGGCGCCGTTCACGCCAACTCTACACACCCAACTGTCTCCCTCGTCCTCCGTTTCCGAGGAACAGTACAGGCCTGACATGCCGAATCGCAAAAGATCTAGTCCTCCTCCCACGAAGAGGATCAAGTCCAACTTCCCCCCACAGTTCTGGGACAGGCTGTCAAAAGTTTGGCTTACGCCTCGAGCCCTACGCGAGAAAGACCGGCGAAACGGCGTACGACCTCCTGCGACAGTCTTGGCAGCTAGTGTAGTTCCAACAACTCTCGTCCGATTTGCAAGGCACGGCGGACCAGATCTTGGCCATCTTCGAGGGGTAGGTCCGACATCAAATCAGTCTATAATAAAGCATCTGCTAATGCCTGGCAAGTATCCTGAACGGAGAGACACTGCACCGTCAAGCCGACGGACACAAGTGACAGCCGTTTCCGCGAAAGCATCTGCCGATGACAAAGATTTTGCGCTGGACTTGATTAACCACGGCATCTATCCCGAAGGGTTTGAGCACGGTGATGGACGCTCAACGCCTGAACCTGATAATTTGGACGTTATCATTAGGGACCTGGCCCGCTCGCGAGCGTCACTTTCACCATCTCGGTTCTCTACTTCCGCTTTTAAAAAGTTCAAGCGAGCCAATAACCAGGTAATTTCCAAACGCAAGGTCATAACCGGAATACTCCCAATCATATGCGGCAGTAGCGATATTTTAGACGAGGGGGATATTCCTTTTGTCAACCTCGATTCAATAGCCGGCAGTACTACCGCTAAGCCCGACTTATACGATGGATCGCACGCAAAAGAGCTTAGCAAGACAGTACGACAAGGGCTAAATAAGACGATTGTACCTACGAGCTATGCCGACGCTCTAGTGGCGCCTAATTTCTTCCTCGAGGCTCAAGCGCCGTGTGGAGGCGCCGACGTGGCAAAACGCAAGGCGTGCTTGGACGGAGCTATTGGGGCTCGGGTCATGCACAGCTTGCAGAGCTACGGCGAGGACGTGTCCGCCTTCGATGGCAACGCCCACAGTTTCAGCGCAACCTACCATGCTGGCACCGGTACTCTTCAGTTGTACGCTCACCATGTCACCCCCCCTGCAGCCGAGGGAGAACGGCCGAAATACCACATGACGCAGCTGAAGGCGTATGCATTGATAAACGACCGGGAAGCCTTTGCTCACGGAGCAGCTGCTTTGAGAAATACTAGGGATCTGGCTCGACGGCAGCGGGTGGCTTTTATACAAGCTGCCAACGCTAGAGCGTCGAAGGCGGAGTTGGCAGCCACGGCGGATAAGCTTTGCAACATGCAACAAGATGACGAACAAGACGACGATCAAGAAGTTGAACAAGTCGATGAACAAGAAGACGATAATCCTTCAAAGAGCTCAGCATGGCAGGACTATCACGACGACCTTCAACAACATATTGCCAAGTCTTGTGTTGAAGAGTGCGAGGGCGATAGCGAAGCACCCACCACTCCTCAATATTATTACGCTCGGGATTCGTCGCAAGGCCTCGACCCAGATGTAGCTTCTAGGGCCGATGCCCCGTCGATGAGTTCAGAGTCGAGCTTCCCTTCAAGTCTCAGTACAAACTCTACACACCCAAGGCGTTCTAGATAATGATGTAGCTCCCCCTGCCTAAGAAATCCGGTCGTCCAAGAGCCGGTCCCGTTTTGCCGCAATTCGGCAAACGCCCGGGTCGGACGCTGCCATTGCAAAAGTCTGGGCGAGCAGCCGGCCGGGAGACGACAAAGAAGGTAGAAGAACGAAAGTAATCGGCCAATGCCTCTAGTTCTTGGCTTTTTACTTTGAACGCTGTTCATTTGTTCCCTGTTTTGTACCAGTGAGCCTCAGTGTGGACCTGCCTTTGCCCTGAACCGGGACCACGCGTTGCGTTGATGCATCAAGCTCGCAAATTACTGGCACAGAGTTCAATCTGTGCCCAATCATTTCAAGATGGGTGACTAGGCAGCAACATGTTTTTTCATTCTTGCTTGCCTTGTGAAGGCGCCAAGTTGGTGGATTTGTTAAGGCGCGCACAACCCCAGCTTGCGCCGACAACCATTGGTATACTTTCGAGTATTGATGGACTGTCAATTCACTTGTTACTCGTGCGAAGCAAGGGCGAGCACTGAGCTGTATGTAGACTTGAAAGTAGCAGCAAATTGGTCTAATCGAAGCAACAAGTGTCCTTGTTGACTAGCCATGACACAAGGCAACCGGGCATATATTTACATGGCAACAAATTGCTTTTCAATTCGCTATTTTCTATCCTTCTGACAGCGGCCTTTGTTTCATTTTTTGAGCCTTGCGAGTTCCAACAAAATTTCCGTACAAGATAAGCGTAGCAACGTTTCGAGCAAACACTCCCTTTTCAAGCGTGATAAAAATGTCTTCCTTTTCGAGATATATCCCCCAAACCTAGCAAAAATGGTCTCCTTGATGCCGTCTTCCACACCTTGGGTTGTGAACATCTGTGGCCTATGCTCGACTTTGATTTGGACGCCCGCCTGTTTGAGGTTACTGCTGCCTACTTTCCAAATAGTCAACGATGCAAGGCGCTTCCACACAGTAGCGGATTTATATCGACCGGCGTCCCAATGCTACTCCAGTCCCACCATAGGAAAAGGAAAGCTATCGCATGACTGCGCCGACGTGGCCTCCGTATCCACGTGTTCTGTATCCGACAAGTCGGCAAAGTCTGGCGCCTCGATAACCGGGGTTGCCGGCAGCGGCTTGTCGACGTTGGACAAGTGATGCAGCGAGAAGCGAGCCAGCGCGCTGACCCGTGCCTGTTGCGCGAGTTTTCCCGACCTTTCGTCGGGCGGGATGTAATGGATCACACCGTCCTTCTCGTAGGTTTGCAGCGCGGTCGTCGGGCGTGGCTCGCTGCGCGCACCCTCCCCGGCGCGGGCCAGGCTCTTCTTTTCAGCGGCCTTTAACTGCTGCTGATGATACGCAATGGGCACGACGCGTGTGCCCCATCTGATGTCCAGGCGGACGCCCGTCAGCTCCTGGAGCCTCGTCACGAACGCGCTGCAGCGGCTGCAGCGCTTCCGCGACACGTGGACTTCAAAGTGAAGGGCGCCGCCGCCGCCGCCACTCCATCGGCTGCTCCGCAGCTCGATCAGATTGTCGCGGCTCAGGAGGCCATCCTCGGCGGCGTGCCCCCCCGCCTGCGTCCGGAGCTGGAGGAGCAGCGTCGCGGCAAAGGTGGCCAGCTTGACCTCGACGTGGGACGCCTGAAAGGTCTTGCTTCGCTGTCCATGCGGCGTCGGCTTCCCAAAGGGCGTCGCGAGGCTGATTTGGAGGATCTCTGCTAGCGCGAGCGCCTTGGACGTCCATCTGGCGTTGCCGAGCACGTCGCCACGAGCCACGAGCGAGTCTCCGTGGCAGCCCAGGCCGTGCCCGCTCTCGGCCCAGGCGAGGATCACGCGCTTGTGTCCGGCGCTCACGGCAGCCAGAAACCCAGTGGTTTTCTTGACCAGTCCGTACTTGTTCCCTCTGTTCTCTTTTGAATAGTCATGTAGAAAGGTTTGGGTGAGACCCTGGCCGAGAACTTGGACGCGGAGGGAACCGGCTTGTTCATCAATGTGATGCAGGTATATTGTCTCGTCCGAGTCGTCTCGGAACCGGGCGTCAAAGTTCATGCTTTTGATTGAAACAAAAGAGTTGGAAATGATAAGAATAAATAAAGACTGAATTCTGTTAGATGGGAGCGCTTGCATCTGTGTGTCGCTTGCCTCTGTGTGTAGAGTTGAACGTGGTAAAAATGCACTTACAGCAAGGAAAAAACTGGTCAGGATTCGAGCCGTGTCGGAACTTTGATTGAGGGAAAGGAAAAGGAATAAAATATATTGAAAAGTTGAGAAAAAAAAAGAGGCTGGAAGAACAAGGCCGTGGAAAAAGAGAAGCGCAGTGTGCGGATTGTTCACGATGCATAGAGGAAAAATTGGCCGAGGCAGTCGCACATCTGTGCCCAACGAATGAGGTGCGCACTTCACCTGATGTTCACTTTCAGTGGCCCTAGCACCCGTGTTATCCTTTCTAGATGGAAGAGGGAGTGTTTCCTACCTATCTTTCTTGCTTGGCGAGAAAATACGCCCTGCATGTTACTGCCATACATGGGAATACCCTCACTACGCACAGGTCTAGTCTTCTCACTTGCCATGGAAAATCCATACGAATTCGCTAAACACGCATCAATCTGCACACCATCTTCTCCTTCCATGCTCACTACTACAGCTTCGCAAGCTCCTTTGGCGGCTCAAAGTCGTCCCAGCTCGCCAGACTCTTCTCGCACGCCTCGCGATACGCCGGCACGCCACCAAACCACGCCAGCGGCTCGCGCCTCTTGCCCGGCACGTTTGCGCCCACCCACCACGAGTCGGCCTCCTTTGCCAGCGCGGCCTCGAACTCGGCGTCGACCCTGTCCTTCCACACCGCGGCCGCCGCCTCCGTCGCCTCGATCACGGCCCGCCCCTCCGCCGCTGCCCGCGCCAGCAGCCCGCACAGCATCTCGACCTGCAGCTCTATAAAAGTCGGCCCGTTGGTCAGCGGGCCCGGCGACTGCGGGCCGTAGAGCAGGAACGCGTTCGGCAGGCCCGGCACCATCATCCCGAGGTGCGTGCGGATGCCGCCGCGCCGCCACCGGTCCTGCAGCAGCGCCCCGTGGCGGTCGCGGATGCCCATGGCGTGCAGGCTGCCCGTGACGGCGTCGTAGCCGGTCGCGAGGATGACGAGGTCGAACTCGTGGAGCGTCCGCTCGCCGGCTTCCTCGGTCACGATGCCGTGCTCGTAGAATTCCGTGATGGGCGACTTTTTCAGATCCACCAGCCGCACGTTGTCGCGGTCCATCAGCTCGTAGTAGCCGTCTTCCAGGACCGGCCGACGCGCCATGAACCACACTGGCTGCGTCTCGGGAACTAGGAATTTCTGCTTTTCCGGGTTCTTGATCCGCGGGCGCGTCTTTTCCTTCCAAAACTCGTAAAACGCGGCGTTGGCGACCTTGTCCGTGGTGATTTCGGGATAGTTCTCGAGGACGATGCCAAAGGCGCCGTTCCGCCACCCCGCCTCCCACACGGCGCGGTGCTGCGCCGGCGTGTCCTCGTGAAACGGGCGTTTCGGCGTGTTGATCAGGCACGAGGACCAGCCCGCCTGCTTGGCCTCTGCGAAATGCGCGCCGTACCGGGCCTTGTCCCGCTCCGCCTCGCCAGTGCCCAGGTCCGCTTGGCGCAGCGGGTAGGCAATGTTGGGCGTGCGCACAAAGACGGTGACGACTGCGTCGAGCTGCGCAATTTCCTGTGCCACCTGCGTGCCGGTCGATCCCTGCCCAATGAGCGCGATGCGCCGCTTCTCGCCCAAGAACAAGTCATCAGGCCAGTCGTGCGTGTGCACCACCTGGCCCTTGAACATCTCCAGACCGGCAAAGTTGGGAATGTACGGCTTATTTGTCGTGCCCGTGGCGAAAAAGACGTAGCGGCCCGTGGCCCGCAGGCCCTTATCCGAGCGGAGTCGCCACAGTCCGGCGCCGGCGTCGTACCGCGCGTCCACAACGACATGCCCAAACAGGGCGTCGCGACGCAGGTCCAGCACCTTGGCCACGTGCTGAAAGTACGCCTGCATCTCGATCTGGTCGGAAAAGCGGCGCCCGAACCGGAAGCCCCGCCAGACGGCGGGCACGCTCAGCTGGTAGAGCGGCGTCGGCGAGTCGACGAGGGCGCCGGGGTACCGTTGCGCGTTCCAGACGCCGCCAAAGTCGGAGCCGGCGTCTATGAGCTTGGCCGAGTAACCTTGTTGGCGTAGCATGTGCAGCGCGTAGCAGCCGGAGAAGCCGGCACCGACAATGATGCAGTCGGCCGAGACGGCCGCGGGATCGGGTGCCGCCATGGTACGTAAGGGGGGTTCAACGTGATCTCTCGTTGGAGGGGGAGCAGAGAGGCGCTTGTTCAAGAACGACTACGCTTGTTGGATGCAGACAGATGAGGATGGAGGGTACTGCGATGAACGGGGCCGAGCCATCGCCGTGCTTTATAGACAGGCAGTATGCATCCATTCTTGCGTCGGACGACACCTGCCGCGTGCTGCAAGTTGATGTAGGCACCATTTTCGTAGATGCAATGCAGGTATAGTCCGGGATACAATATATTGGGGGGGGGGGGGGGTTGCAGCGGATGTGTGAAAGATGGGTACTGGATGCACCGGGCCCGAACTGTCGGCTCTCAGCCAGCCACAAGACTTGCTGCAGCGAGCTGATTCTCAACATCACAGAACGGATTTCCATCTAGGACGACAGCAACAAAAGTGCAGCACAGCGGCGATGGTTGCATCCGTCACTTTTTCTTCTGGCCCGTGGGATTCGGCCGAGTCTTGCGCGGAGCCCGGCGGCCTATCGCGATAAGCGTCCGATGTTGAAGGTGGGATTCAAATGGGTTTGTAGGTGGACGCCAGCACAGGCCCCGGTGTAAGCCCCCTGCATTAATTACACAGCCCACCACGCCCCGATATAAGGAACCGTTTTGCTTGCAAGGCTATGTTGTCCGTCCATCCTATGACCTTCTCCTCTCATCATGGGGCCTGCCTACTTTACCTGGTTCCCGCAGCTCCCGGTCGAGATTCGGCTGCAGATTTGGCAACTCGCGCTCGAACCCGAGGCGCCTAGCCCTGTGCTTTTTTGTTTCAAAGAAGGGTGCTGGAAGCCGAGGTACCTCACCCGTTCAGATCCCGAGTTCAATTGCAACGACGACGAACTTAACTTGGTGTTTGAGTTCAGGCACGAGCTGCTGGATCAGGCCGGCTTTACGGTGCCGTTGTTCTCTGTCAGTCGCGAGGCCCGCTCCGTTGCTCTGCCGTGCATTTTGTCGCAGGAGCTGCGACGCGGCCAAGACACGGCCTCGTGCATCTTTGTGCGGCGGTACGATCCATGGCGCGACCTTCTTCTTCTACCCACCCCCGCCATTCTCCGCGCCTTTCTCGTAGAGCCAATCGAAAGACTCTTTGAGCCAGACCTGGATCAGAAGTATGTCAACTGTCCTCACCCGCTCATCTCGCGCCTCGCAATCACCCTGTCTGGTCTGGCCTCGCTAGAAACTTGCTTCTTCGGGCTGTGGGAGAATTGCCATCTGCTAGAGATGGTCTATGTCGTCATCGAGGAGCCAGAGGATATGCAAGAGCGGCAAGAGGGCCATCACTGGGAGGCTGTGAGCGCACACGACGCGGTGTATGTGTGGGATGCGAGCCAACGCCGTATGACGTGGTGCGGTGAGCACAAGCGGGACGAACCCCTGCGTGAGGTGTTTGCGCAGATGGAGAGATGCACAGAGGGCCTAGTCATGAAGCTCGTTGAGCTGGGAAAGGATCGGTTTGAGATGCGTGTTGTGCATGCGGTTCCGAGATAGCCTGCACGCGGTAGGCTGTGATGTCAGATCTCTGCGCTTGAATAGCGTATGTAGGACTGCGTGCCCACAGTCGTAAAAGTAGTGCAAGTTGGAGATGGTGCTCATGTGTAATTTGTACCTAGGTATGTACATGACACCCGCAGCAAGGAAGTCGCTTTTTTTCAGGCTGGGGTAGGGCAAGGGTATTTCGAGAAATATGTCTGTGCGCATTCGCGACAACCGACGGCACGATATCGGATGGCGCTCTGCAAGTGTGGGGGGCAGGAGAAGCCAGTTCACTACTTTGCACACTGGACAGCGAATTTCCACGGTACAATTATGTAGGATTCAGGAGCTGTTCTTGCATACGTGCAAGTCCATCTCGCGTGGTCAATAATACACCCAGTCACTTCAGCTTCAGAGAACGCCGCGACCCCGGCACGCGCATCGAAATCTGCCACCTCGACCTTGGTCGCTTCGTCGCCGCCACGATGACGCACCCGCAGCTCCCGAGAGTGCGAGCCTGCTGCCATGGGATGGGAACTCAAAGCTTACTGGGGGTATTCCGCATTACATTTGCCGGCAGTACGTTCCCTCACCTCCGACATATGCCATCGGGCTCGAACCACAGGCTGTGATCCTTCTCTCCGTACTCCGCACGATAGCTTTTCAGACATAGCACTCGCCTCATTCACATCCCAATCGTCTCACCTGAGCAGGTCGGTGTACACGATACACTTCATGTCCGCGACCGGTCGTTGCGCTTTTTTTGTCTGAAGAAACAGAAAAGGGCAAAATATACACTGGCTGTGACTCGACGGATCACAGACTTGTTCATTCCTGTCCCAAAGATATACCTACATCAGAACTGGCCACCACAAGGCGGTATTCTGGTTTGATGATTCGCCTCATTTGCAAGGGCTCACAGACTCCCAAATGGCGTTTCTGAGCCCCTATTTGGACACAATTTTCCGACGTTGCAAGGCGAGACCCAAGCCGGCATCACCACTTCCTCGTATCACTGCCAGTACGGAGTAGTCCTTGAGCAACCCCAAGATTGTTGTGACACTCCAGCTTCTCTTCTCTCCACTTTTGCCTGCCAGAGTCCAATAGCACCGTGTATGGTCGAACCTGCTCGCCTCATTCACAGAACACCTAGCTCACCTGATCATGTCCCAATACCATCCTCTTCATCGGAGGACAGAACCGTCATGACCGCAAATGTAGACAGCATAAATATCCATCAGAGCGGCCAGTACCTGTCCACGTCGGCAAACAAAACCACACTCTGACTCTGGAATCATCCTACCTGCAAAGTCCAAGCCCACAGCGGTATGCGTGTCCCCTGCTCCCCAACAAAAGGCTGACTATTGACCCATCCAGTAATGTGCTACAACTACGTTTCCCCCGTCACCATGATCTGTGGCCATCCCGGTCCTGACGGCTTCACCAAAGATCCGGTGTGTAACCAGGATCCCTGTGAGACTGGTGGTATTGTGGTGGACGTTTGGCTAGGAGCCACCTTCAGGAGATGGCCCTGTGGGGATTGCATTGCGGCCAAGACCTGGATCGAATGGAGCCCTAACCGGTGGAGGAAGGCCGTGTCGCCTTAGAGGCGTTGGGGAAGGGGGCCTTGGACCGGTGCCATTTGGTGAATAGAAGCGTCGTGTTACTCAGTTCTGTACCACCATGACCCCTGCTTGCCTTATTCTTGTTGGGTATATCAATGCATATCCGTAACCCCCGTGTTTCGTCCCCCCTTTTACCGTTTTCCACAACCATAATCCTGGCACCATGACTGGTCTACACTGGACATTCGAGCATCTCGTCAAGTATACGAGCCATCCCTCGTTTCCGTCATCGACTCTCAATCCACTCATCAAGAGACTCCTCGCCAGCGACCCGAATGCATACATCTTCGGCGTCGGCGGCCATTCCGTGGTGCTGCGCATCGCACCCGACGTCGCCGCCAAGGTGGCGCTCGAGCCGGGCGACGAGCACCTCCGTCACGAGCAGGCCATCCTTGCCTCGCTGGCCGGCGACGCGGGCAGCCCGCACCTGATCCGGTCCTACCTGCACGCCGCCGACGTCAGCTTCCTCGAGCTGGTCGAGAACGGGAATCTGCACGAGCGGATGCGCAGGGCAGGCAGGCCGCCGCGGCCGGTGCTGCTGCGCTGGATGCTGCAGCTGGCGCACGCGGCCGCCTGCCTGGAGACGCTCGGGTACGCGCACGGCGACATCGACCCGCGCAACATCCTGGTCGACGCCGAGGACCAGGTGCGGCTCATCGACTTTGACCACGCGCTCCGGCCCGGCGCGGAACTCGACGTCGGCGAGGAGCCGTACGTCCGGCAGAGCATGGAGCCCCAGGGCGGCCAGTTCGGCTTCGCCGGCCCCGTCACGGAGCAGTTTGCGCTCGGCTCCGTCTTCTGGTACATGGCGCGCGGCGCCCAGATGTACGCGGAGCTGCCCGGCCACGAGCGCGTCGACCGCCTGATCCGCGGCGACTTTCCCGCCACCGATCCGCACGACCCCGTGGACGGCATCATCCGCCGCTGCTGGGAGGGCGGCTACGCCACCGTCGTGCACCTTGTCGACGACATCCAGCGCGTGTCCGGACTGGAGCTGCCGACCCGGACGCCCGGACGCCTCGGCCACATGCAGGAGCGGAGGCGGTTCTGCGAGGAGTACTGCAGACTGGCAAACTTGACTGTGATCCAAAGTAACGCGAAAGAAGAAAATGATGCATGTTTCGACACCGCCAGCGCCCGAAACAACACTGAAAAATGCGGCGAGGTTGCCGACATCAGTCACGCCACTCCCATTGTGGCAGGAAAATCTTCAATGCCGACGGGGTATCAATCAAATCAGCCAAATCGACAACTCCCAATGAAGACGTCAATGCTGCGCTTCCGCACGCGCGCAAAGTCCGTGTGCAATTTTCTTTAGGCATCTGTACTTTTCCGGTTGCACATCTCCCCGCTGTATTTGCGCAATAGACAAGCTTTCATTCATTGAGCCCCTGCTGGCTACTCCCTCTGTTGCTGGGACAGAATAAAGGGCAAAGTCGCCTCCAAAACCCCAATGTATTATTAACAATTTCTAATTCCTTAAAAATACAAGAACTCCGCTAGTTACCGTACCCACCCCTCCGAGTTGTCCGGGCCTCACCCCGCGCCGGACAGCCAATTGATTGATAAGCGCATATTTGTTTTCCGTTTCTCTCTCCCACCCTGTCGCCGATGTTTCGCATCCCACTTTTTCCGTGCGCCCACCACCGGTTTATCCATATAAGTCGAACCCGTGCCTTGTTTCCCTCCTCGACCCCTTTGTCCAACCCATCAGAGTAAATGGACCTGCTGTGGATCTTGCTCGCCTTGCTCCTCCCATTTATGCTGCACTATTTCCGCGCCGTCGCCGCCCCCAAGATGCCCGTCGGTCCCGTTATTGCGCTCTCCCACGGCGGAGGTAAGAAAGACGGAATCCCCAATTCCGAAGTCCCCCCCCATTCTCACCACCAACCCCCTGCTAAACCCAAACCCAACCAGGCCCCATGCCGCTGCTCAACGATCCCGGCCACAAGTCCATCATCTACTCGCTGCGGAACCGCATCCCCGAGATCCTGCGCCTCGCCTCCCCCACGCACCGCCCTTCCGCCATCATCCTCGTCACCGCGCACTGGACGACCCCGTCCCCCGTCATCTCGTCCGGCCCGTCCCCGGCGCTCCTCTACGACTACTACGGCTTCCCCCCCGAGACGTACTCGCTCAAGTACCC